CTTCCTTCCTTCCTTCCTTCCTTCCTTCCTTCCTTCCTTCCTTCCTTCCTTCTTCTTTCCCCCTTCTGTCCCTTCCTTCCTCCCTTTTATTTATTTATTGTAAGTTGCAGATTTAATCAAAGGACATGGCCTTAGCCTGTCTGTCTTAATATTAGGATTATTTGAACTGTAATCTTTTTGCTGAGACTGCTGTTGTTGGTTTCTGAATTGATGGAGTATGGAATTGTGGCATAGTGGTCATGGTTTCTTCTCTTTGCTATTGGGAAAGGCTCATAGGTTTGGAAATGTGAAAAATGGAAATTTTGCCCTGTGAACTATAGATTGGGAGAAAGATGGAAGAAAGTTGCCAACTGTTTCCCTTTCTCATCACAACTTCTCCTTCAGAGAGAATCTGACAATGTGGAAGAATATTATCATTTACTTTGCTGGATCAACCCAATCAAATCCAGCTTGATATGTTCAGTTGCATGCCATAGAAGGCCTGCACATTGACGTGTAGGACTGCTACATTATAGGATGGGGTTCGAGAATGAGGGTAATAGAATCTATCACTTCTCTTCCTTCCCCTGCCAATTTTATCCACATTGTGTTTCTCTAATCTTCTAAAAACATGGGACTATCTTAGAACATATAGTACAAGACCCCTCTCTTTCTCCACCTCTTTGATCCCAGGGTGAAGTTGGGGGTGGCAGTGGTCTTGTCTCTCACATATCTCAGTTATCTCATATTCAGTGATAGGCTGTCACTAAACAAAGTGATTCTGCTTAGTTGTGTGGCTGTTAGAGAGAGAACTCTAGGAAGGAGATATACTATCTCTCTCTGATTTATTTATTAAACGTTTTAAGAACTACTACAAACTAAATTAGAACACAGAAGATGAAAAAGAAAGAAATAACAGAAAAAAAGCTAAAAGGGCAATAAGAAAAAAAAGTAGAAGAAAGTAGAAAAAAGAACAAGATATAAAGAAAGATGTAAAGGCATAAACAAGTAGCTTCTGATATTCTTCACAGAAGTTAGAAGTACATTTTAAGAACAATAATAAGAACTACTACAACTAAATTAGAACAGAGAACGTGAAAGAAGAAAGAAAGAACAGAAAAAGCTAAAAGTGCAATAAGAAAAGAAGATAGAAGAAAGTAGAAGAAAAGAACAAGATATAAAGGTTTAAAGAAGTAGCTTCGCCAATATATATTTTTTGATAAATAGTCTTCCTGTGTCAGTAACATCTTCATGTCATGGTCATAAACCTGAATCTATGTCACTGAAGCTCTGCATCATGATGTCCCCCAACTGAGTAATAGGTGTTCTCTTTTCTGTTGGTTTGAAATATTTATATGAAGTTCGTCAGGCAATGCTTCATTAGGCAACAAAGGTGTCTCTTTAGTGCAGTATACTCTTCAATGAATATAAAATAATAAAATAGATTATGTACACATGTATATTCCACCAGTGCCCATTTGGCTGCTTTGGTGAGAAATGCAAAGTTGGCCAACTTGAACCAGAGGCCATTAAGTTCTAGTCTCCTGGAAGTAACTGCTCCATCAGTAACTCTTCCCACTTGGTGAGAAAGCAAGGCTCCTTCCATTGGCTTAGCCAGGATTCCCATTCTTGGGCATCTTGCTCAGAATTAGAAATGTGCCAACTTTTTCTTGCTCTTTCTGAGTTCTTTTCTCCTCTTGAGTTAAAATTGTAAAATGTACATGATGTTGATGAACAGTCTTGTAGGCATTGTTGGAAATTGGGTGGGTCCACATTGTAAAGACGGGTGGTGCTTCTGGGGGCTCATGTTCTCGGCCAATTACAGGGTGACTGGTTCTTCTCGGCATCAGCCAGGTTGGTTTCTTGGTTGCACCGAAGTGTGACAGGACATTGAGAGAATAGGACAGAACTATCAGGAAGGACCTGTGATCCTCTGACTTGGTGGTCACAGAATTAACGAGAAAGAGTTAATCCACCCATTTCATGACTTCTTGTGAAGTGTAGTGTTGATTCAGCAGGTCGGAACTGCAAGGGCAACCCGAGAGAAGGTCTGAGACGGAGAATATGTCAGAGGGCAGGGCAGGGATCATTTTTACCCGCGGATAACACGTAAAGCCCGGAAGGAGAGCAGGCTGCTCCATGAAGTTCAGGGAGGAGTCGATTATTTATAATAACAGAAGTCAGGAGGAGGAATAAGTCATTTTAAGGGGGCATAAATTTTTGACGATGGCGCATAAACAGCCGTCGCTCGTTTCGCCTCTCCTCCGTCTGTCCCTGCCAATAACGGGGGACGGTGCTGGAATAAAGGAGAATCTAATCAGGGAGAAGGAGGGGAAGGGATGGGGAAGATCTGGGGAATTGATCGGGGAGGAAGCTTGTATCTTGGATCCTGGTGTAAAAGGTTGGTGGCTGACAGGTGGCGAAGTTTTTCCACTGGATAAAGCCATGTGCAGGCTGTCAGACCCACACAGTCTGCCTCGTTGCAATTGATGAATTGCCTGTTTCCTTGATTAAACCTTCCGTCACTTAAGGAACAATAAGCTCCAGCACCGAGATGTCAAGATGTGTGTGCGCGTTTCTGCCTTACGTTTTTGCAGATGTTGGGCACAGCGCACAGCGTGTATTATTAAAACGAATGTGGCATTTATAGCATCTTTATTTCCTTTGCAGGAGAAATGACCCTTAAATTTTGCCCTAATAACAGGATGGGACAGAGCTGGCCCTTTCATCAATATAATTGGTAGATTAATCAACTTAAACTTGAGTTGATTCATCCAAGAATTGTGATTTTTTTTTAAAATATGTATATTTTGCTCTGGGGTTTTTTAACGCTCTTTTGTTTTTGATGTTTTCCATGATTTTGTCAAGGTACAATCATATGCACATTTTTTTTTCCCCATTTAAGGATAAATAGCTTTTTTTCTGGCCCTTATTGTATGCCATCTTGTCCTTGTGTGAGTGTCTCAAAAAGACACATCTGGAGGTTTTGGAAATATGGAGATTGCTTTAAATTTAATGAATTAATTGTTGCTTAATTGTTGCTTCTCCTTTGTGATTGTTTTTTTTATTGCTGTTTTATTGCCTTTGTTGTGAGCCTCCTAGGATTGTTGCCTATAAGATAGGCAACCGCATACGTTTTATAAATGCATAAAATCATATGGTGAATTAACTGAAATGTTTCCCATCGCCCAATGGTCTTCCTGGATTATAATATTAAACTTTCCATGGTCCTAGGGCCCTCAAATGATCTCTTCAAATCAGTTCCTTCATTATCAACTTCAAGGCTTAGCATGCTCACCAATGGTTCTGTTGGTCAGAAAATTCTGAGGGCTGAACTTCATATACAGTGGTACCTCTACTTACGAACTTAATCCATTCCGTGACTCTGATCGCAAGTCGAGTTGGTCGCAAGTCGAAGTAAATTTTCCCATAAGGTTCAATGTAATTGCTGTTAATCCATTCCGGCGTCCGCGGACCACGTGTCGGGCGGAAAAACGGCCACTGACCATGCGGCAGGGCGGAAAAATGGCCGTGGACCACGTGGAACGGGCGGAAAATGGCTGCGGACCACGTGGAATGGGCGGAAAATGGCCGCGGACCACGCGGCAGGGCGGGAAAACGGCCGCGGACAACGTGGAACAGGCGGAAAATGGCTGCGGATCCGGTTCGTAAGTCGAGGCGAGTTCGTAAGTAGAGGT